AGGTCGCCCAATCCAGCCCACCCCCCGCTGGCAGGGAGCCTTGCTTGGGACCCCCTGGCCGGGGGCTTCTCCTCCCTGCTGGCCTGACTGCGGGGAGGGGCGGGGGGGCAGCGGGCAAGTCCACCCTGGGCTCCCACCCTGACCCCGGTCTGACCGGGGTCAGGGACAAGCGCCTGCCTTTCTGGGCTGCCTTTTTTGGGGGAGGGCAGTGAAAGCCAGGCCTGGGTTAGGGTTGCCCAGCCCTTCTGCCTCTCTCTGCGCTGGGATGTTTCCCAGGCAGCCCCCACCCCCCGTTTTGCGAGCCTGGGCTCGGTTTCCTTGCACCCTGGCCATCTCTCCCCATAGGGCGGGGGGGCGGGATTAGAAGGGGGAGGGCCGGACCCTTGCAGGCGCTTGGCACCCCCCTCCCAGGGGGCACATGGCGGCACCCGGCCTGCCTGCCTGCCCGCCTGCCTGTTGCTGCTCCCCAAAGCCACGCTTGGCTGTTTCCCCCTTTGCTTCTGCCCCCCCCTGTGGGCGGNGGGGGTTCCCCTTTCCCTCTCTGACCCGCTTGGCTCTCCTCCCACGCCCCCCCCCTTTCTCTTTGGCAGACAACCAGTTCTGTGGAGGGAAGCTGGAGAAGGCCCAGGGCACCCTCAAGACCCCCAACTGGCCGGAGACAGACTATCCGCCTGGCATCAGCTGCTCCTGGCACATCATCGCCCCAAAGGGCAAGGTACCAGAGGCTCCCTGCCGGCCCCCCAGCCCCCACCCCCTTGCACTGGGTGAAATCTGCCGAGTCTGATTGCTGCCCTGGCTGCATCCTGCAGGGAACCTGGGATGGGGGGGGGTTGTGAGGCACTCGCTGGGCAACAACAAGCTGTGGCAGAGAATTCTAAGCCGGGCACCGAAACGTCAAGTCCCAGGACCCCCCCACCCCCAGAGCCACGACAGCCCCCGTGGGATCAAACTGCCGAGACCACGCAGCCGGCGTCCATGGATCCCACACCCAAAGCTTGGGCTGACCTTCTTCCCCCCTCGCCCTCCCAGGTGATTGAGCTGACCTTTGGGAAGTTTGACGTGGAGCCGGACACCTACTGCCGCTACGACTACGTGGCCGTTTTCAATGGAGGAAACGCAGACAGCTCGCAGCGCATCGGGAGGTTCTGCGGAGACAATTCGCCCAGGTAGGGGGGACTCCTCCACCTGAACCTTCGGCCGGCCCCCTCCTGCCCGGCCCCCCTCCAAATGGGAGCTCCCAAAATTGCACATTGCTATCTGTGTCCACATTACCTTTGCTCCCACATTTATTTGGGAACGGCTTTTAATGTGCTTTATCTGTACCTGCATTTAAAAGCCAGGATGCAAAGCAAAAACTATCAACACCGAGGAGAGGGCCTCACTCCGTGGAAAAAGGTTGCCGAATTGCTCAGGTTTTGCAAGGGGTTCTGCTTCAGCCAAGCAGTTCATGTCTAGCAAAGCTTGTTCCCATATAGAAGGTCACACAGGCGGGAGCGACTTTTCCATCAGATCCCCATGAGGGAAGCCCATAGGGGTTAACTATGTTGGACGGGGAGGGCTTCATCGGGCATGACCTATCCACCCACTGAAGCTTTGCCGTCATCCTGTCCACTCCCACCTTCAGCCCCGTCTACTCGGAGAGCAATGAGCTCCTGGTCCAGTTTGTCTCCGATCTCAGCGTCACGGCTGACGGCTTCTCCGCCTCTTACGTGATGAAAGACCGCACCGAGCTGGTGGACCAAAGCAGCTCGAAACCCCCGGTCCGCGTCTTCCCGGGCTCCAAGCCGGGCCAGCCAGTGAGGAAGCCCGTGGCCCCGAAGCCCAAGCCCCCCGCCAAGCCAGCTCCAGTGCCCAAGCCGGCCCCCAAACCCCAACCCGCAGGAGAAGCGACAGGTAGGAGAGCCCAAGCAAGGGAGGCTGCCGGGGAGGACGTGTTGAGCCACTCCGGGAGGCGTCCTGAATGCCAGAGGGATCAGAAGAAAGAAGCTCATGCCATTCCTCTGAGCATGTGCAGAGTGTTTTCCCTATCATCTGGGCAGAGGCTTCCCGTTCCTCCTAGGTGTCTTGGCTGATGGGAAGGGTAGCACTCTATTGCTCCCTCGCCTGCGGTGGGAGGGGTGGGTCTTCCGTCCTGTGACCTCCACCCTGTCTTTTTCCCCTCTTCCTAGACGAGGTTGTGTGCCCAGAACGGTGCCGACGAACGGGAACCCTCCAGAGCAATTTCTGCGCCAGTGATTTTGGTAAGCTCCCCTGGGTGTGACTCTGCCAGGCAGGAGAGGAACCCTTCCCCCCAGGGCCAGGGGCCCAGTTCTGTGGTGGAGAAAACCGGCGTGCCCACGCCCGGCCCCTGCTGGGCTCAGGACAGCCCGTGTGAGCCGGCTCCAAAGCGGGGAGTGGGAGGGAGGGAGGGGGGACATGTGGGAGTCACAAGAGGAGGCGGTGGTCACGGGGGCGGCGGGCAAGGGGAGGTTGCTACCCTGTGAGTGGCAACCTCGTGCCTTCCTGTGGAGAAAACCGGCGTGCCCACGCCCGGCCCCTGCTGGGCTCAGGACAGCCCGTGTGAGCTGGCTCCAAAGCGGGGAGTGGGAGGGAAGGAGGGAGGGGGGACATGTGGGAGTCACACGAGGAGGCGGTGGTCACGGGGGCAGCGGGCAAGGGGAGGTTGCAACCCTGTGAGTGGCAACCTCGTGCCTTCCTGGATTGGGGCCAGAGAGGAGTGCCTCCATCACACACAAACACACACACACACACACATCTCTTTTCTCTTTGCAGTGATCACGGGCATGGCGGAAAAAGTCGTGCGAGGGCCTGGGAACAGCGTCACGGCCACCGTGATGCTCCTGAACACCTACAAGGCTGGCACCTTGAACCTGCCTTCCGCAGGAAGCGGGGCCACGCTCCGCCTGCGTGTGCCTTGCAGGCAGTGCCCCATCCTCAAGAAAGGTGAGAGCCCCCCCTCCGTCTGCCCTTGGAGCCTGGGCGGGGGGGCACCCACTGTGCCTGAACTCACTGCCATTCCCCCCCCCCAATTGCCCTCACAGGGTTCCTCTTGCAGGTCCCTCCTTTCCTGAGATCAACAATTCCCCCATCCCTGGATGGTTTTTGCATAATCGCCCAGGTCCACAGCGACATCTTTGTTTGCTTGCTTAAAATATGTTTGCCCTGCCTTTCCTGTAATCCAGAGGCCCCAGGGGAGGCGTATGTGTCCCTGATGATGATGGGAAAGGGTTGGATCAGGGTCAAGAAGGAAGGCTTGGCAAG